TGAAAATCGAATCGAAACTGCCGGACAAAATGGCCGCTCCTTGTATGCAAATAGTGTTAAAGTATGTAATACCAAGCTCGTGGACCCTCTAGAAATCACAATTGTTATCCGATTTTGATTAAACTTAAAATATATGTTTATATCCCGAAGATCTCGGTTCCTGTAGATATTCGCGCATATCGGGCCGTAACTTCATGTATTATTGCTCCTGGTTGTACGAAAAATTACGTTTTTAGATTGAGGTCACAATTTTTATCTGATTTTACAAAACGTTTAAATATGTCACCGTTACACCCTAATGGCGGTTGAGTTCGAATTTCGTGAAAATCGGACCGAAACTGTCTGACAAAATGGCTGCCCCTTGTACGCAAATAGTGTAAAAGTATGTAATGCCAAGGTTGTGGGCCCTCTTAGAGGTCTCAATTGTTATCCGATTTTGATGAAACTTAAAATACATGTTTATATCCCACATATCTTGGTTCCTTTCGATATTCACGCATAACTTCCTGGATTATGGTCCGTTTTGGCTTGTGGGCCCTCTAGATTTCAAAAAACAAATCTCAATATTTAATAATAAAAATAATATTTTGTTCCATGTAAACAGACACCACAATCCGCGGGTCCAGGTTCACATTATAGGCTAGCAGCCAAAGCTCCAAAAGGGACTTAAATGGCAAGATACCCCTATCCGAGGTAGAACAAAATTTAAAACTGGTTCTTGGGTAAATTTTCAACATAGCCCAATACATGTATATTTATTTACACTTTTACCAATGGGCAGTTTTTTTTTTGTAAGATAATAGATTTGGGGGTAGGGATAGCCTTTTGGTTCTTGTTCTTTGATGCCGAAAAAACTTGAAAATAATTTACTACCATTTAAATGTGGAATAGGTGACCAATGCATATTTTTGGTCAGAACTTCTAAATTTGCATATATGACGTAATTGTGATGTAATAGAAACATCATTGATTTTATTTTGTCATAATTCTGGCCAAATCCGTGTGGGTCAAATCCGCCACATCGCCGACATTTATCTTCTCTGCAGCAGCCATAATGATTGTAATGTCACGTGATTATGTCGAATTTGGAATTTGGAATTTCACATTTCGAATTTAGTAATTTGGAACGGGTGTTTATCCGGCCCAGGCATCAGATAGGTAAACTAGCACTAATTAGTTGTGCAACATTACAATTTATTTAAATTCTAATTTGTTTAATTTATGGGGCGGTCAATTTGCTATTTTATTGGTAAGACATGAATTTGGAATTTTGAATTTCGCATTTGGAATTTGGAATTTGGATGAGCCTTCTGGGCTTTCGTACCAAATAGATTTTAAACAGTATCATTTGATATAATGTCCTTGCAGCACCCGGCGTAACTCTTACAGTGTCTGAAAACCGTTAAATAAAGCCTCAACGAGCGCGGTCTGGCACGTTAAGGACTTGTTCTTCTCGGAGTACAGGCTCGGTCGTGGGAAAGGGCTCGTCCCCGTCGGCTTATCTCCGCAATTGAATTCACTTGGATTAAGGTCTCCTTAAGAACAGTATACAAGGAAATTATTAACAATCCTTTATGAGATGTTAATCTTATTTGAGTAACCGTCATATAGATGTTTAAAAGTTTGTTGACAAGTAATCACTGAAACAGGAAGGAAGGAGGTCATTAATGTGTGTGTATTTATCATACGTGATAGGACACACGGACACAGCAGCACTTATTGAACAGCTTTCATACGGAAAAGGTCCGTATAACATTGCCGTCTTTTTAACGTCTTTTTTGCTACTTTAAGACCCTGAAATGTTGTGCTATAGCGTTTTTATGAATCTATTATTTTATGTGATTTTAACCATGATAAAGTCTGTAATCATTATTTTTGATGAGTTTTTTTCGGAATTTTCATAGTTTTCCTGTCTGTCTGCATGCCGGTTGATCTACGCACTAAATTTAGGGAGGTGGGACCTTGCAAATCTGTAAATGATGTGATTCTATGGTAAAAGGGTATAAACTTTCTGAAATGATACATTAGTGAAGCCAAATAGTCCAAGATTTTTAGTAAGATTAGACATTCATTTTTTTTAATAGCTCAGCGACTGTCGAGCGAGTTTACTCTCTCCAGTAATTTGTAGCTAGGTCTGGGTACTTGACTAGTACTGATGGTGATCTTGGTAGATAACTGCCATCATGCTGTAATAGAATTATGCTCAGCTACTCCTACGTACGCCGCGCGAAAAACTGCCAAAATACGTGATACGGACGGGAAAAATCCCCCTTGCCAAAAGTCTCTATCTTACATAACCCATATTTCATTTTAAGGCACGAATCAACGTGTAATTATATATAATGTCCATTTAGTTTGAATCGATAAGTGTTGAAGTTACCGTTCACAAGCAGAGTATGCTCTCCTCGGCTGTAGTCACGAGAGGCTAAGCTATTAACATATTTTTGTAAATTTTGTCCGTTTTCCAATTCGGCAGACTGGTAAACATAGACTGACGATTTCTCCCAGAATTATTTAAATTTCATGGACAAGATTAAATCTTTGTTTACTGGTTATTTCCCTTCATCGCAAGGATGTTGATACAGTTGGTGGTACAGTAGTAAACCGACATATCATCGCTTCTAATTATAAAACGAGAATGGTTATGCACAGCGTCAACTGCATGCATCAAAATCCTTGTGTACGCTTCCTCGTGCTTTCTGAAACGATAGGCGGTTCTTGGCGTTCAAGCGGGTTTTGAATCTCTCCAAATCATGATACATATTATTAATTCCCTCTGGTTTTGCTCAATTCGTTTTAGAGATGGCCAGTCCATTGTGTTGATAAAGAAAGACAGCCATGGAATGTATATTTATGACCCGGCATACTAACATTTCTCTGAAATATCATACAAGGAAGCTTCAAATATGCAAATCAGGACTAATTAGTTTATTTTTGTTGTAAATTGCAAACGAATAAAGAACTCATATCACAGTGGAATGCAGAATTGTTATTGTAATCTTGGTGTTGTTGCCTGTAGAATTGTAATTCACATGACTTTGTAGTAATATACCTTTATGAATAGGCTTGTTTGGGGATGTTACAAATACTTATATGTAGGGCCTATATTTGGTAGGCCAAATTATTACTGAACAATTAGTAGTCCCAAAATGTTTTCCTTCGTTCATTGTATTGCGATTTAACGCCCATGTAGCGGGGAAGGTGTAGCTATTAAGAAAATAATAATAATAGCATTTCTATAGGGCTAGCGGAATGAACTATAATTTTCTTGTTAAAGGTAAGTAGAGAATTAAAAAAAAACATGGCAATGTGCGGACATTTCTCTTAATATCTCATGACAGTACAATCACAGTCTCATATGGCACCTCTTTGTCTCCGACAGAAAATCGGTTGTGTTACTACTCTCTACAGCCAAGTAAGAATAATCTGCGCACAATACAGGTTTGTAGTTCTTAGAAAATGAAATGAAATGAAATGGGGTTTAACGTCCTACTGTTCTGCTCCTATACTGGGCTAATGAAGACGGGCATACGCCATACAGTGTGCTATGAGGGAAATTTTGCCCGGGCAGCGGCACTATCGCCTGCTCTTATATCGAATTCCAACTGCCAAGGGATCTTTTACGTGCATTCCAATGTATACACGGGACCTCGGTTTTTCGTCTCATCCGAAGGACTAGACAGCTGTCCTTGTCAGGCCCTCCGTCCTGCATCACTGACAAGGGGGAACCACGCCGGAAAATCGGGATGAACTTTCTCGGCCAATGCAGGGATCGAACACCCGACCTCCAGGCTAGCGAGCCAGCGCCTTACCCACTTAGCCACGTGGTCCCCCTTAGTTCTTAGAAGTTGAACTTTCCGCCATTTGCAAATTACGACAGACTGATCGCTAATTACAAGCCTGTTTGTTGTCAGGTGACGTCCGCCGCCATCTTAACGTTTTCGCGAAATCTAAATGATGATTCTGTTTATAATTCGATCGAATAGGCCTACAAGCCGGGAGATTAGCAAGCTTTGTTTTTTTTTTCATTTTCTAAATGAAATGTTCAATAATCAATTTTTAGTACACATTACTGTGGATTAGGCAATGAGAAATTTGATATTTTCCGAAAAATGCAAATCAAGCACGTTACTTGAAAAAAGAAATAACCTTGTAATTATTAAATGTTCTACTCTGTAGAGCATATTACGGAATAAATTCAACTCTGCTTTGAATCACAGATGAAATATATATACAACACACGTGAAATAGAAAGTATGCCTATGCCCCCCCCACCCCCGCTGTGTTTGTGCAACCATATAATATAACAAGCAGTATAGTATACTACAAAGCCCTGTGGAATTGTGACGTCAAAATTAAAAAATCATCCGTCAATCGAGACGCAATTGTCCAATGAACAACCATGACAAGTTGTATGTCAATCGTACATGAATTGACGGAGCCTTAGGCTTTTTTCGAAAAGCGCCAACCCCAAGAACAAGACCAGTAACGCTAAGAGGCTAATTCCTGGTCCAAAAATGATATAGTGTGTGCTATTTGCGATTTTTCTTATTCAATCACTGAGTGTACTGGAGAAAAACACAAAATATAGCTTATCTTATACTTCCTTATCGTTAAATAGTTAGATTTTACGCATACAGTCAAAATCTATGATTTTTTACAGTTGCCATGGAAACCATGAGAAATAACTTTTCTGTCCCATTTTGAAAATCGCACAAGAACTGATAACATAATGTCGATAAAATTACCTTTCAAACCATACCAAATAACCGTTGTTCTACTATAGGTTCTACTATAGGTATGGGTATCGGACAAATATGGACTTAATCCGCTAGCCTATTAGGGCCTATAATAACTGGGGGATGTCCAAGTCCTACAACAGCGCCCGCAACTAAATTTGATCAAAATTTGGAAAAGCAGTACGTTTAGTAGGTTACAGTGAGACTAGTTCATCTTTTATTTACAAATATATATTCTGATATATTAATCTTTTATTTTAGTTCTTGCTCTAGTGGCAACTATCCAAGCTTGTGACGACACAAAGTTGGAAGCATGCAAGACAGCGTTTGATGATAGTATAACCGCTGCAGGTGACAACGCAACCCTGAAATGCAGGTAGGTGTTAACAAACGAATAATTTTCAACGCATATTATCATAATTTGTATTAGAATAAATTAATGCTTGTATCACAAATAATGAATTATATGAACCAATAATAAAATCACCGGACAATTTTTCTTTGTGATAATGCGCTTTACATTTTCGACGCGACATTTTGTATGTACACTTGAGGCCATGACGTTATGTAAAAAAAATATTGAGCAGCCATTGGATTTTGAAAAATCATATAGAATTATGTGGTACCGTTCTACTTTTATGTCGTATTTACGGTAATAACGGGTTATATCAGGTTATACGTTATATTTCCCAGTAGTTCACTCAAATACAAAAACCTAAAATTAATGTTTTTGTTGGGTACTATAGAACAAAATGGGCGAAGGAAGACTGTTCCATTATTTAAATGCCTCTTCTGCCTCTCATGTGTCCTAGGATTAGTTCACCAATCCTCCACTGTATTCCAGAACAAGTTGAACTACCTTATCCTAGAACAATTACCTCATCTGTTCCTGGTATTAAAGGAATGATTCAACATTCTTTCCGTGTGACCTGGTTCAATGTACAAATTCGACGTCCCAAGAATAGCTCCTCATTCCTTCTATGTGTCCTAGGACCAGAACCTGTCTGCCCCACCCCCACGCCCTTTCCCCCTGTATCTCCAAGGGCCAACCCCTCCTCCAATTACCCCGTACCTGAGTATACTGTTTTCGTATTTCCTAGAACCAACCTCTCCACCCCACTCCCCACATCGACCCCCACCCTCCCTGTGTGTCCTGGGATTAGTCCGATCCCATATTATGCCCCTCTCCCTCTGTCTTAGGATTAGCCACAAGTCCTGATAATCTCCTCGTTTAATAATCATAAGTAATGGATGCGGTGCACGAGTCAGATATGCTTCGCTAACAAACTCTTATTGCACTCGTTTGTTAATAACAACATTTTTTTATCCACGAATATAGTGCCTCTGCGGTGTTAAACACGTGCCTTACCGGTGAAGTGGCCGACTGTCCAGATGGCTTCAATTTCACCAAATATCTCGAATTAAAAGCGGAAAATGATGCGTTTATGGTAGATAACAAGACGTGTAATGCAGGTAGGTACTCACCAATCCAATAATATTAATATATCGCTCATCCCAGAAATCGGGGACTATAAAAGATAATCAATTATGTTCGGTGAAATGCGTGAACAGTCCAAAGTGGCCATATTTGGTTAATTATTGACGTCATTGGGCATATTTAACCAATCCAATAATTAACAAATAGCTCATCCCAAAAATCGGGGAATATAAAAGAGCAAAATTTGGATTAGAAAATCCTCCTGCAAAATTTCATGGATCCGCCCCTGGTTATATATACTTGAGAAATGTGCAGTATTGTAATATTCAATAGATGACCATAATATAGCAATAGACATGGTTGGTATTTATAAATTATTAATGTAAATAGTTTATACTTTGATGTCGCTCATTTAATACAGATATGTTTATATTTCTTCTTTTAATACAGATATGACAATGTGTCAAAAGATGATACATAGCTGTCAAGATAAACTTCTGGTTGCCAAAACTTGCGAGTAAGAAAATCTTTTATTTAATCACCGTAATCTTGACTGAAAGATATATTATAACTCTAGCGATCTTCGCCGATCGTTCAAGATTAATGCTCGAGTTGCCACGATTTCACTATAAATGAAATATTATTATTCTCACCCGTCCCATATTATATTAAGGAATTTGAGTCATATTTAGAATGGTTGAAAGATTCCGGATAACCTAGCACTGGCTCAATTCAACGGCCTAACAAGACTTTTGAAATATAATGCAGAATTTGATTTATTTTGACAGGACCAAGACAGCGTTTATGAATTGTTACGTGGGTGCTTATATTATGTGTCCCGGCACGGAAGCATCGATCAATATTACTGACAAGTTTAATCTAACAGCTTATGCAAGTTGTATTGCAGGTATGATATTTTCATTATTGTATCCAATAATTAAAGTTTCAAGCACAAAAATGAGAAACGAATCGCAAAAATGTTTCTTTTTCTTTGACGAAACAAAAATAAATATTTCCGTTTTTATGAATGGTGTTGATGCATTATGTAAGATTTAGATAAAGAGATGACCGTTCTTGCTATAATAGTTAAAAAAAATGGATAATGCAAAATGAATATATTGAACATTTCTTTCAAATTATTTTTTTCTGAGCCAAGTTATGATTGTTGGAAGATGTAGGGTTGATTGTTTATTAATTGTAGCAACGGTATTCGACAAACGAGACGAAGGACGATGAACCTGAGCCACTCGGGGGGATCACGTGGCTAAGTGGGTAAGACGTTGGCTCGCTAGCCTGGAGGTCGGGTGTTCGATCCCTGCATTGGCCGAGAAAGTTCATCGAGATTTTCCGGCGTGGTTCCCCCTTGTCAGTGATGCAGGACGGAGGGCCTGACAAGGACAGCTGTCTAGTCCTTCGGATGAGACGAAAAACCGAGGTCCCGTGTATACATTAGAATGCACATAAAAGATCCCTTGGCAGTTGGAATTCGATATAAGAGTAGGCGATAGTGCCGCTGCCCGGGCAAAATTTCCCTCATAGCACACTGTATGGCGTATGCCCGTCTTCATTAGCAGCATAGGAGCAGAACAGTAGGACGTTAAACCCCATTTCATTTCATTTCATTTCTGAGCAACTCGAGCACCACGCTATGGACATCTCGGCTAGTCAAATAAATTAGCAGTTAGAACGAATGAATGAAATGGGGGATTAAAGTCATACGTTTCTGTAACAGTTAGGCCCAACACAAATTGCAAAAGAAATGATTCCAACGTCATTCATTCGGCCATGACCTTTCAGAATCTTAATGAATCTCATTAGGTGAATGGAGTAAAATTTGTTAATTTATGCAAATTAGTAGCCGAATAACGGGAAACTTGCAAACTAATAGGAATTTCAATCCAAAGTGCCCCAATTCCGTTCAGTTTTTACACAGATATAATTATGGAATTGAAATTCCAACGAAATATACTGCTTCGCTATGTAATAAACCCGCCGCCATTTTGCGAAAGTTTATTGTTGGGGCCACCTAAGGAAGACCATCAGCGCCACCAGCACCAAAAAAACCCAGCGAAACCAACTTTGTATATAAATTTGATGTATTTTATGTATTTTTATAAAAACTAGGAAATATCCAAAACTAAATTTTTATCATCCTCTTAAATTTAACCCTTTTTAGAAGACTGAACTTGGATTCAATTTACATACTCCTCTTAAAGACTCCTGAAATTCCCGAACCTCCCCAATCGACCTACAGTTAACATCTCCTTTTATGGTGGGGGGGGTTGGATGGCTGAATGGTTAGCGTACGCGCGCTGTATCATAAAGTCTGTCATTGAGACGACTGGCGTGGTTTCGAATCCCCGGTTGTACGTGGCAAGGAGTAGGGTCGCCTGTCCAACCTCGTGGGTTTTCTCCGGGTCCTCCGGTTTCCTCCCACCGCTAAAGACCCCTACGCGCAAGCGAATTATGTAAATAAAATTAAACCATATGTTAGTCCCGAAATGACCTAGTTTGTTTCGAGTGGACGTTAAACCCCATTTCTCTCTCTCTCTCTCTCTCTCTCTCCTTTTATGGTTATGCCTGTTTTAAATCCGTTTTAATCCAAGCCGGGACATTATCTAGTGTTAATATTTTGATTTTGATTATTTAAATATTAAATAATCAACCCAAGTAAATATTAGCGTGTATTAAACTGTGCGAAATTTGATATTTTAAAGAAAAATGAAAATTAAGCATCGTTACTTTAACTGCACTTTTCGACATATACAAATTGTTTTACTGTACGTTCTGACGAATAGGCCTTTCCTTTTACTTACAGATGGTAAATGCTATGTGGATTATTACAATTGTTTGATGGGCAAAACTAACGTTACATGTGAGGCAGGGACGGGATCTGCCAGTTGCTGCAGGTTTGTCATTCTTATAGATATTCACAAAGAAAACTGTTATCTCAGCAACCCTATAAGAATCTAGTGGTAGTTTGATCAGACATGTCAGCCATTTTATAATCTGGAAGGTATTAAATCTTCCCGAACTGCCCCGTCAAGTAGACATTGAACTAGCAAAGAAACCGAAGATTAAGTAGGGAATTTAATGTTAACTGTCGAGTTGGAAAATTGAGGCAGAAAAATCGGTAAAACCAAGTCCATACAACCAACTATGGATGCAGGCTTTAGGCCAATAGGAAACCCCAGAGTCCAGTTCAGCTCATTTCAGGTGTAACCCTCGTCAACATAGATCGCCTGTTGACTGTCTCTCCTCAATGATTGGATGAAATGTTGGATCTGATCTGAGTCTGCGTTAGTCGGTTCCATTTCTGGTGTAGTGCCTGATCCAAATCGTCAAGATTCTGCGCTGATGGATCTCTCTGACAGATATTACGCACAAGAATGCCCTATAGATATGCCTATGCCTAATTGGATTTAGGTCACAGAAAATCAACGCCACACCTACGGTTTGATCTAGTGTTGTCGTCAATAAAGAGTGGTTTGTGAGAAGCGGACGATAGTCGAAGTGGGGCACTACAACCCAGTCCAGGATCTCTCTTTGGTACCGTTGGCCACTGGGATTACGTTTAACTACTACTAGTTCATGCTTAGTTACAAGATTTGCAAGGCAACCCCATATTATAATAGAGCCGCCGCCGAATGGAACCTGCTCTGTGATGTTCCTCTATATGCCACGTTCCCACGTCGCCATACCCTAGCTCTACCATAGCTCATTTCCGAAATATCTTTTTCATGACGCGGGAGGTTCATACCAGCTTTAACTGGTATATATGGCGGGCAGAATACGACAAAAATTTCAATTCAATTTTTATTTGGTTTTACACTCATACTCCTGCAAGTGAAAGTTATAGAATGTGACGTAATGTCGAAATAGAGACTATTTTTAAGTGGAGTTACTTCCCTTGATAAATTTGTGGACCTTATAATACAAGGTCCATGGTTTAACAAACTACATTTAACATAAAAATGTTTTTCTAATTTACTTTTTAGCTCTACGTCAGCTGTAATGGAGTGTGCTATGGAAACAGACTCATGTAAAACAACACTGGGTTACGCCACTTTAAAAGCTGAATACGATGATAAATGCAGTGGTGCTAACGGTTAGTGCTTTTTACCACCTTTAGGATAGAAATTGAAATGCGTTGAATATACCGCCTCGTGAACCCAGCGCTTCGGCCATTTTGATTTTGAAACTAGCATAAAATAAAATAATTTCCATTTTCTTTCTTCCCGTGTGCAACAATGCGAGGAGCTAATTTTGTCGGGGTAGTGGATCGTTTAGTGAATATCAGTTTCTTCGTAACACCTCGGCTCGACGTTCTATCTGCCATGCCGAATGTGTTCAATGGTCAAACGACTTCTAATTGTGTTTGCAAGGTGGCGACGTTAAATCATGTTGCGCAGTGAGTCGTCTATGGCGCTGGCTCAATAATCACAGGCAGACCAAGGTTCCGGTGGGATATGTAGGCAGCATTTTTGCTTGGATTTTAGCTAGGCAGCTACCTATAGGGTAATCCGTCCGGGTTCAATCTGGGGTTCGATCCGGGTGATGGCCGAGAATGAGTTCATCGGAATATTCCTCCGTCAGTAGTGCAGGACGAGTGGTCTGGAAAGGTAAGAAAGCCAGGTCGTTAAGATGGAACGAATAACCGAGACACTGTCTTCACGTTGGCCTACACACACACTCAACATGGTGTATACCTTTCTAAATTAACCCGGTCGGTGCACCCCATTCCATTTTACTATCCTCTAATGAGAGATCAAACACACATATATAAATAATTTCATAATAAAACTGCATTATTAATTGATTGAAACAATATTTTACAGGTTTAACAGTTGCGTGGTTGCTGATTGCTGTAGCTATGTTCCTAACTAGACAATTCTAGAAATACAATCTTAAATTTAACTCTTTCAATCTCATACACGAGTTTTGTTCATTTCTATACAAAATCGCATTAATTCGCCATTGGATAACCTGCTCTAAATGATATCAGACTTGTTCCTACGCCAAGATGCTATTGAAGCAGAAGTTAAGATTCTATAGTTACACATCGATTTCAGGACGATCTCGAGTAAAGTTTAAAAGGATATCCCTTTTATATAAATAGTAAGTTTACGTCAAGAGAAACTTAGTCAGAAAACGGCTGACGTAGGAACTAGTCTTACGTATAATTTTTTAAGAGTCGGTTATCCAGTCTCGTCTTTTAGTATAATAATCATAGAAATATATAAATAGACATAATAATACTAATAAGCACAAAAGGGGGAAGTTTTGTGTTTAACATATCAAACTTTCTACATGACCGAGACTTGTTATATTTATTTGTACGGTCTTGCGATGACGAAAGGTTTGATTAATGGAACATGACAAGAACAAATTTTGATTTTTGAAAATATATTTTTTTGTTTCTTTGTTTTTGCCATTATTAGAGGAAAACTTCTGGTCATATGACATGGGGATTTCCCTTAGACTCCCATATTAAAATGCGCTTTGGATGTAATTATAAGAGGCGTGCCACAGCTCGCGTCATCATTAACTTAACAAGAAAAACTGCACTTCCTCAGTAAGTCTCAATATGTATTATACTTATAAATTCATTTTCCCCTTTCATAAGAAACATTATGTTCACATGAATATGTTTATTAACCCAGAACAAAAAATGTTGGATTAAGTTGATATTGAAAGAGTTACATTTATACGTGTTCCAACATTATAATGATGATAATATGACGGCTTTGCCTGATGTACACTTATCGGAGTTAACTTGAAGAATAGTAGTCTAGTTTTATATATTTATGTTGCCATGACGATTAACAGTATTATTGTTTCGTTCTTTTAAAGAGGAATCTACCGGAGAATGGACATGATTGACATTTTCAAGTATTTGACATGTTTCGAACTACTTCAATATGACTTTAACATTTAATGTCCTTCTTCTCGCGTTTAATTCAAATGATTAGACTGTGTCTTTTAGAATGTGAGGACGGTTGGCGCAGGGTATGAATATCCGCCGTCTAATTAAAATGATACCAATTTCATTGGACAGTTTACCCCGATTCGGCTATGCATTCATGCTTTTCATTATGGTGCGTGTTAAGTAATACCCAGACCCAAGATCACCCTACCAATCAGAACCGCTAACACATGAACTTTAGTGTTGGTAGTAGTCTGTGGTTTATCGTCTGCTTCCATAGTAGTGATATCGCAGACAAGATGACCGTCAGGCGGCCATTCCTTTAACTCACCAACCCTTATTTTGCTTTTCAGTCGAAAGCAAAATCGTCTGAAACATTTGATGAACGAAACATTTGATCTGTTGTCTAATCAAGGTCACGGCTTTAGATGTGATGTAAACCATCGATTTCAATAGGATTAGAATCTCCCAGTGGATTGATTTAAAAAATATTTTCCATGGTTTGGAAATACACAACGAGTACCTTGGTGCAAACGAAATGGACCAAATAAATTTATAAATAACCCAATGATTCCTGGCAATGTTTATTAATTTTCTGCATTTGTCAAAAGATTTATTAACGACATTATAATAATGAAATTCGTCTGGCTACTGAGTATATAACAATTCTACCAGTTCTTTTAATTTGTTAATATATGTTTTTGCTTTGTTTTATATTTCTATGCACTAGTATCATAAATATTGTATAGATTCACACCACACATCGGTTCAGTACCACCCACTTTATTTGAAATAAAACGTTTTGTGCATCCGGTGGTGGGCGGCCATTATGACCATACTCCAGGACAGCGTGCTTCTTGGTTATGGCCTGCGATTTTAGAATATAACCTATTTAAAATGAATTTTGATCTGCCAAGGAAAGAGAATGGAAACAGCGTTATTAAATGTGCTGATTATACGTATGTTATTTATGCATTACTTCGCCCGGCCGCATATTTTACAAAGAATAACACCATTTTCAGTGGTTTTCTTTTCATTCTTCCGTTTCTAAAATTATCTGTCCATCATACGAAATAATAGAAAAATATACGAGATCAATAAATATACATTCAATCATGGCGGGTGCTATTTTCCATACTATGACTTCCGATTAAGACATTTTGGTACTGACCCCCCCCCCCCCCTCATTTATGCACCAAACATTTATTGTTAATGTAACGAGTCACCTGAATTTAATAATATTAGTTAGCACGAATGGTTAAAGTTTTAAAATACGTTATAGGTATTAGAACTAGTTTATTATTTTTAATTGACATTATATGTATTCATACGCCTACAAACAATTTTGGTGCCTTCTATATAGAAATGATTATGTGTTTTGTCGACATGGATCGGTGGATGTTTTTGATTTTGCCTTTGTGTAATATATTTTATAAATATATTTTAAGTTTTTTATTTTTTGGCGTGTTTATCTCTCGTGTTATTTATCAACTGTTTTGGTTGTAAACTGCTTATATTGTTGTCTATTTTCTGATAATAAACTGTAGTATTCAGCGTGTTTACATATGAGTAGTGGTGTAGGAGGGTCTGGCAAAGGCAGAGTCTAGTCGTTCGAACGGGACGAAAAACCAAGAGATTTAACGTCCACTCGACACAAACTAGGTCAATTCGGGACTTACACATGGTTCAATTATATTTCAATACTTCGCTTGCGCGTATGGGTCTTTAGCAGTGGGAAGAAACCGGAGGACCCGGAGAAAACCCACGAGGTTGGACAGGCGACACAGCATTGCATAAGCCCGTCTTCATTAGCCAAACCGATGTAGAAAAGTAAGAATTTTAACCCCATTTCATTTCGTTCCGTTAAAATACAAAGTAAAATGAAATGAAATGAAATCAATGAAAAGAAATGGGGTTTAACGTCCTACTGTTCTGCTCCTATGCTGGGCTAATGAAGACGGGCATACGCCATACAGTGTGCTATGAGGGAAATTTTGCCCGGGCAGCGGCACTATCGCCTACTCTTATATCGAATTCCAACTGCCAAGGGATCTTTTACGTGCATTCCAATGTATACACGGGACCTCGGTTTTTCGTCCCATCCGAAGGTCTAGACAGCTGTCCTTGTCAGGCCCTCCGCCCTGCATCACTGACAAGGGGTAATCACGCCGGAAAATCTGGATGAACTTTTTCGGCCAATGCAGGGATCGAACACCCGACCTCCAGGCTAGCGAGCCAGCGTCTTACCAACTTAGCAATGTTAGCTACGCGAGCTCCTTAGATGGATGTGAATTAAGTTTAACGTCTCCTCAGTACAATACTTCGGCTATATTGAGACTAACATCAGGTTATATTTATATCGTAATGTATACGATTTTACCTGGACAGTGCCTGTTCTGTCTACTTTTTATCGAATACCAACTGTCCCCAGTATTTGTACCATCCGAACGACAAAACAGCACTTTCCTTGTCAGCCCTGAAGGTACAATCCTCCATTCGGTAAGGACGATTCAGCTGAAATCCATTATTGATTTTAGACAAGTCAGTAGAGTCTAAATCTAAAGTTGCCCTTTCATAGAGGACTTAGTCATCCTGTCGTTTGGATGAGACAAAAAAAATGGAATTTTCATCCAAAGCACGCGTATTCATTGGCATGAAGGCAATTAAGACGTAAAAGCTCATTCCTTCCGGTTCATTCATCTTGACGCTCGGTCATCGTATATCTACAAACCATATTTGAAATTCATCAACGATTAAAGATGCATTATGTAAGCGCTATTGGAGGTCTTTTTACTGGCTTCTTAGATAAAGTATTATTTAAACATTCATTCACATGACAAGCCCATAACCAACTCTCTAGAATATCGGATGACCGGGATTTAAATGGATTTAAACACCCACGAGATATTTAACGTTAAAATGGATAATCGAGAAAGGTTACAAGACTTTACCTAAACCAATCAATGAACTGCAACCAACATTGGTAACGTGTTTTGCTTTTGTGGCATTTATTCAATTGGTTCAAACAAAGATGCTTGGCCCTATGGTCGTGGTTTGGCAAATATAATATGTATGTTTGACTCCTTTTCTTTAAAGGTGCATTATGTAAGATTTAGATCAGTGGTTCTCAGCCTTTTTTGCCAACAGCACACCTTGGAACACATGAAAAAATAGCGGCACACCTGGCTTAATATATATGTGAAAAATATTCGAATTTTGCAAAATATAAACATGTTAAGTCAGACGGAATACAACCGTAGACAGACACTAGTCATAGACACATAGAGAGACTCAGGGTAAATAAAGAAAAATACCAGTAGACACCAGTGAATATTCAATTGGGATCACATGGTTTTTCACATTTTCTTAGTGTGCCGTTCAAAATTTCGCGACACACTTTAGGAAGATCTCGCGGCACACCTGTGTGCCGCGCCACACTGGTTGAGAATCACTGATTTAGATACAGAGCTGGCTGTTTTTTGCTTTAATTGTTCAAAAATAAATAACGAAAAATGAATATATTGAAAATTTCATTCAAATCCGAGATGAAATTATGACTGTTTGAAGATGTAGCAGCGATCGTTTATTATCGCCCTCCACAGTAGAACCAGTACAGGAATTTGGCAACACGCGATCATTCCGTTTTGTTGCCCGGGGACTGGCTAGCCTCTCAATGGCTGCTTGTGGTATCCTCCTCAACTCTCATTGCAATGCATCTTCCAACGATTCTAATACTCAAGTCACTTGGGTGATGGGATCACGTGGCTAAGTGGGTAAGACGCTGGCTCGCTAGCCTGGAGGTCAGGTGTTCGATCCCTGCATTGGCCGAGAAAGTTCATCCAGATTTTCCAGCGGGGTTTCCCCTTGTCAGTGATGCAGGACGGAGGGCCTGACAAGGACAGCTGTCTAGTCGTTCGGATGGGAGGAAAACCCGATGTCCCGTGTACACATTGGCGTGCACGTAAAATATCCCTTGGCAGTTGGAATTCGATATAAGAGTAGGCCGTAGTGCCGCTGCCCGGGCAAAATTTGCCTCATAGCACACTGTATGGCGTTCTCGGTGTTCAGGTGTCGCATATCGCTGCGTCTTCCACAGAACTGTACTGACCCTAGCTTTTTAAAAGCCACATTTTATTCACCACTAAAAAATCTTGATTTTCTATATTTCCATTATGTCGAATTAATTGTCTGTTTTGTTTGAGCGAACTGTATCCGTGATTATCGACGTGATCTGATTGGCCACTACAATCACTGATAAGGATGACATCGATGCGACTTAATGAGTCCCAAATATTAACTTTTTTCATCCGTCAAATTAAATTCTAAAACATTTTTTTTTTCATTTATTAGAAAAATAAATAAAGACGTTTGAATTATTTGTAGGTAAAAATCATTTCCTATTTAATGTAAATAGATATTAAAATAAGTAAAATTCACCATTTAGCCCGAATCAGTAACGTCTTGTGTAAACAATGCACGCGCTATTGAGCCAATGATTGACGCCGCGTGATGTGACGTTATGTGTCGAAACAGTCATCTGTTACAGAGATATTAGAAGATCTCTGTGAAATAGATTCGATCTGATGTTATATTCTGCTGCGTTTTCATCGCGTCTCAGTATGTATTATTACATTGTTTATGCAGAAGAACGGAGAATAAGGAAAGATTAATACGTCATTTTGCGTTTCTTGTTTTGCTTGACGTCTTTTCAAATTTAACCCAATTGTAGGGTTTGTGTCGTATATATGGACTGAGTTATAAAATAAACTTTAAAAAAATGTTTTTCTTTATAAAACTATTTTATTGCTTTGTAATTGCCATCGCTATATATAACAACCTAAACCATTGGATAACTAGCTTGTGTAGCTATACCGCATTGGTTACTCTTGTTTCTTGACATCATGATGTAACCTTGCATACCCCACACGGTACCCCAGCTGAAAATAAACGATAAATATGTTATTTTATATGTATATCAGTTGATAATTAGCAATAAATATATTATTACTAGCATGATACCCGGCTTCGCTCGGGGGTCATAACTCCGAAACCGGAAGTCGTAGACTAACGCCACCTGGCCTATGTTACTCCCCGGTCCGAGATACCCCTATACCCCAAATTTCAGACTCGGGGCAGACCTAGTGTAGCCGCCAACCCCGAACAGACTGGCTTCGCCCGGGGGTCATAACTCCGAAACCGGAAGTGGTAGACTAACGCCACCTGGCCTATGTTACTCCCCGGTCCGAGCTACCCCTATACCCCAAATTTCAGACTCGGGGCAGACCTAGTGTAGCCGCCAACCCCGAACAGACAGATTTCGCTCGGGGGTCATAACTCCGAAACCGGAAGTGGTAGACTAACGCCACCTGGCCTGTGTTACTCCCCGGTCCGAGCTACCCCTATACCCCAAATTGCAGACTCGGGGCAGACCTAGTGTAGCCGCCAACCCCGAACAGACCGGCTTCGCTCGGGGGTCATAACTCCAAAACCGGAAGTGGTAGACTAACGCCACCTGGCCTATGTTACTCCCCGGTCCTAGCTACCCCTATACCCAAATTTCAGACTCGGGGCAGATGAAAATAACAATAAATATATTATATGTATACCAGTTGGGGTCTATTGACTGTACCGAGTCCTCATTTTGGAAGTTCACGCAATTACCCCTCATTACATTCTGCGCCAATATTGATTGTACTGTATTCCCATTTAGGAAGTTTGCGAAACTCACTTTTGTCCTTCGTGTATTTGATTTTTGGGGAATTTGGTTACCGTTTATAACATTTGGTGGTATTGTAGAATGTCAGTCAATATTTAATAATTAACATCCTCACAATAAATAAATCCAGTCTTTTATTATTTGCCTTTTACGTAATGCCAACCCACACAACGTTAGAGGAACCCAAAATCAGTTGTATCTGAACACTTGCTTTATCATACACCCACTTTACAACGGAATGAGATAGCCTAACCTCGTTTTATATGACAATTACCAGCAGAACGATCTCATTTCTTAACCTGAAACTTTCAACTAAGATAAATAATACACTCTGGCATTTAATTTGCATACTTGTATCAACCGATAGCCTTACATATTGAATGCTCTTAAAGTTCCAGTTTTAGTTCATAATTAATAATTATAAATACCTGTTTTTAACAAGCCAATAATCTGAACCAGCATCAGTACCGTAACCGACAGCAAGGACACCATGATCGAGTCTGACAGAGCTGCACTCTACGTCACTGTAGACACCAGTCTTGTAGAAATGGAAGGTGGATCGACTGGCATCAATGGCGACTGAAATGGGACCTACAGTTGCTACGGCTTGTTGAAGACCTGACTCACTATCTCGTGGAATATCAGTAAAACCAACATCAGTGGCACCAACGTTAGCGGCCTGATATCGGCATCGACCATCCTGTTCAATACAAATTATACAGAAATAATGCAGGGTCTTCAGCAAAGCAGCTATTGATTCGTCTTGAGAAACATCGCCACAAATCTTCAGTAAAAAGTTTGTTTAAAAATCCGAAACAGAATAATATTTTCGTAGGCATTGCAATTCAGGGGACGTAGATAGTGACATGTAGCTGTTGTTTCAGGGTATCTTTGAATATTTATTCTTTAAATGTTATCTTGATTTTTGTTCCATTCTTCACCTTCGTTTTCATGGACGGATCGTATGATGGCAAGGGTGCCTAACAGTGAGTTATATGGCCAGTCAGTATGGTCAGACGAATTATGCTAGAATATTTGCTGTTATTAAAGAATTGAAGAAAAGTACCAAGTTTGTGGAATATCCGTAGTTTTGCGCTACTAAATTCATTTCCACCAATCTTAGGCAAGATTCGATTTACTGTACGGGCTGGGCAATCCTTAAAGGGTGACAATAAACATATCGATTTTGCAACACGTTAAGGTGGTCAGCAATCGGATATACTTATAATACGCCTCGTGTTATTTTGGATAGATTTGATAGTCAAAAACTTACTCGGGCTGTGTATGGATAGCTAGCTTCGGTATCAATACCACCATTAGATTTAATATACTCAAAAGCGAAGTCCATCAAACCACCACCACATCCATGGTTACCTAGAAAAGATAGTTTTTCATATTAAACCACCATAAAAAAATTGTGCTTCCAATAGAGAGATGAGATACTTTAGTACCATACGTTACGTCCTGCGTGATTCTAGGTCCCTACTACATACTACGTTACACTGAGGGGAACTGAAAATGCTATGTTTATCCCCGCCATCTTGCTGCTCCAATAGAGAGATGTGAGGCTTTAGTACCTTACGTTATGTCCTGTGTGACCGTATTACCATTGATTTATCTAGCGAAAAGTAATTTACCTTCTGGTTTAGAACAATCCATTAAGTTTTGTTCAGATAAAGACACGAGCTTTCCTGTTCTCTTGAAATGTTGTCCTTCTAATGAACCAGTTGACGAGAAAGCCCAACATGAACCACATTCTTTCTGTGATAATAAAAGACAGCCATAAAAACAACAAAATGACAAAATATTGGTTAAGTTACACATTCTTCCAACGTAATGAACCAGATGATGAAAAAACAATATGAACCACATTCGTTCAGTTATAATAAAAGGCAATTATGAAAAATATAACAGAATATTGGTTGAGTTAAAGATCTATCGCCCGTATCATTTTACTGAATGATAGAGGTATGGTGGCCCTAGCTACCTTTTCCATAGTTCAGTAGGATATCTATAGCTATACCCGAACGTATAGAGACGAATACGTATACCGACGAGCATGTATTCAGCGACCGAATACATCACATTCCGGAAAAATGGTCTGATTCCAACCATAGCAATGGTACTAATCTGATCATTGATAGGTGTGACGTAACATTGGTAGCCGTCACGTGACTTGGATAATAATACTAACCTGATCTTTGATTGGTGTGACGTAACCTTGGCTTCTCCAATCAACTGTTGTTGGCAGAACTTCAACATGGGATGGTGCCATGAAGGTGGCTCCACGGGTTCTGTTGGCCATTCTGTAACCATTCATCTTCTGTACGATTTCCACTCGTGTCTGTGAACAAAACATAGAAATATCGCAATGATGACGATGAAAGTGTGACGAAGACTGTTAGTTATATATAAAAGAAGGAATAGAATGACACGGGGTTTCAAATCTCTCATTCGATACAATTTTGTAGGACAATAACTTTTCTCCCTACTCTTCTTCAAATTGCATTATTTGTCTGTACACGGGACCTCGGACTTTCTCCCATTTGAACGACTAGACACACGTTCCTGACACCGCTACGTACAGTTAAACAAAGCAATGTTTTCGCCCTGGATTATTTCAGAATTAGGAGCTTCTTGTTTCCGTGTGCAGTAGGTACCAGCAGAATCACCATCCTAGTTTGTACAGTTAGCTTGATTAAATGTGAATACTGGATACTTAACCCAATGGCCACTTATCTTAGAGTTAGCTTGATGAAATTTGAATTCTAGGTACTTAACTCTATAGCCACATATCTTAGAGGTAGCAAAAAGAAATGTGAATTCTGGGTACTTAACCCAGTAGTCACTTATCTTAGAGTTAACTACAAGGCATGTGAATACTGGGCTCTAAACTCAGTAACCACTTATCTCAAAGTTGGCTAGAAGAAATATAAATACTGGGTACTTAACTCAATAACAATTTAACCCAGTAAGTTATCTAGAAGAGACATGAATACTGGATTCTAAACTCAATTACGACTTATCTTAGTAGAGTTACCTATAAGAAATGTGAACTCTTGGTACTTAGAAGAATTGTGAATACCTGGTTGTTAACACAATCAGTAGAAATGAAACAAGAACTCACCATGTCACCGAAGGCGTTCATACCCAATCTGTAACTGTGAAGACCACGATCAGCTCTTAAGTTATGGAGTTGAATAAAGTTGATATTGTCTTCCCAGATGAGTCGTCTACAACATTACATAGATGTGAATATCGTAAAGAAATGGATTTTAGGGGTGGGGAGGAGGGTTTGGCTGAAACTATTGATACGGGAATGGGGTGTTTACCCAGGAAACGCGGCTGTGCACTATATACGAACAATTAACATGTAAATATCCGGCGTCAATACATAAAACGGGGCCATATGATTTAAACATTTATAAATGATCGTGTATTGAATTCTAAAAACAATGGGTAACCAGTTAAATTGGATTAAAACTTGTTTGATATGATCCTGATGTTTACTACTGGTAATGAGTCGAGCTCGAGCAGTCGCGTTCTGAACGTTTTGCAATTTATCAATTATACGAAATGGTAAACCACTGAGTATAGAATTCAATTGATCGTATCGTGATTTGACAACAGCTTTGATGGACTCAACGAACATTTACAATGCAAAAACCCGAATCCAGTATCCGTACAGATATAATATAATTTCACCTCTTTTGGGAATCAGCCTCACTAGCGTATTCCTTGGAATAGGTTTGAGTGAAGATCTCCCATTCTCCATTGAGATCTTCGTTGATGGCAGCCACAATGGCAACGCCGACTAATAAAATGGCAAGTTTCAGCATCTGAAAATACAACAGTTTATAAAATTATTATTTATATAAATCGAAAAACAGCTATAATTTGTAAACCCTGAATTTGCTCATGCTCATTAAGATTTTCAAGGCTATTAGGGTAACCCCTTGGGTGGAACTGGCTAGAAAATGGGCACACAATATGCACGCAGGCGCAACTGAAACTGATTTAGAGCTATGGATCATCAATAAGAAAGCGAATTCAAATACCAAAACATCCGATATTTAAAAAGTGTTTAATAAGCATAATCAAAATTTCGTTCCGCTTCATTTTCTGGACATCAATATAACGGAACGAACATAACATCCATTGTGGCAGCAGGCATTAGATCATCAGCTACGACGACATCCAGATTTAATAATTTTTCACATTCCCAATTACTTTTGTCTAGAAATAAACATTTGCATAAATCCATATATTGACACACCAGAGCGGGAAAGGCACACGGCTTTTAGGATACACAAAGATTTTTGCCCATTGAAAGACATACAACTGAAATAAAGTTAATCATCTTACCTTTAGTAAGTATAGCAAGGTATAGACTAGATACCAAACTATCGCTACTTTTATAGGCGTTATTGATAAGAACACATCACATGACTGTCACATGGCACATGATTGTCAGGATGGTATCACAAGAAATATCAAAAGGCAATTTCTTTTTTTTTTAAATTTATTTAACCAAACCAAAACCCAACTATATTGCGCGTGAAACGCGCAGTAAATATTTATGGCAAAGGTACAACAAAATTGTTTGACAAATCGAGGTATAAGAGATTTTTTCCGGTGTTATAGAAAGTGTAACGAGACGCATACATCGCCTCGTGCAAGAGACGCGTCAGTTAGAGTTGAAAGATAAAGTCTGATATTGACCGCGTGTCACGTGGTCGAATATGCCCACCAATGCTATCCAAACCTGACCTCTACTAAACCAGATGTTTACTGACGATTTTTACTTGTTTACTAATTATAGTTTTATTTTTGTTGACACAGGTAGGATACCATCCCACAAGACAAGTCAACATAATCCAAGTTATAATTGACCCCTAATATTGTATAATTATCTGTTATCACTCATCACTTCAGTCAGTTATATAGAAGGATAACTCGTGTTTTCCTGTTGCGTTCGTCTCTCCACTTTCTTGAAATCTCCATAAGGCATCTATCGTTGCAGTGATCTCTGTGTTAAAATTATATTATAAGGTCCATGGTTTAACCAGTTCTATCACATATGTGATAATGACTGACACCAATATTGTCCTTTAAGACACTATGAACATCTTAAAATCAGTACACGAATCGTGTACTCTGTGGTTTCTGGTACCAGTTGTAATCAACAAATCCAAACATATCCTATAAGACAATGCGGAAGTAATTAGTAACGGCTGATTCACAAACCACAAAATAATAATGGAAAAAAAAACGTGTAGAATGGATTAAGCAGACGTAAACTACTTTCGTTCAAATTGGACTGTTATTTATTTTTCGAACCTAAATGATTAGAAATTACAATAAATATTTTAAAAATTGAATATAAATCACTTTATGTACGTTCATATTACATTAATATGTGCTTTTAGACGCATTTTAAGGTTCCAAGAATAGAGTCATACACCCTTTAAACTAAAGAAAAAAGACACAAATTGCTTTTTAGAAAAGGTAAACGAAGTCATAGTGATTAACAAAAACGGCTTGTTAAAAAATTGTAATCTATAAGGATGGGATAAGAGAGGCGTTGGCGTAATTATAAAATAATTATATTGACCACACGAACACTTTACTTCATGAAGTGAACAAAACAAGTGTTGTGTGGTATTTTAATAAATAAAACAAAGTTTACGTTATTTAATTAGGTGTTGGGTGCATTTACAAACCAAACCCACTGTTTTTAAGTACTTATTGACTGGATTGGCACGCCACAGCACACTGTTTTTAAGTACTAGTACTTATTGACTGGATTGGCACGCCACAGCACACTGTTTTTAAGTACATTTATAGTACATTTACAAACCAAACACACTATTTAAAGTACAATATGTTTGTTAAGTACATTTACAAACTATGCACACTTTTTAAGTCTTTATTGAATGCATTTACAAACTAAGCACACTGTTTAAATCCTTCTTGAGTGCATTTACAATCAACGCAAACTGTTTTAAGTCCTTGTTGAATACATTTACAATTAACGCACATTGTTTTAAGTACTTATTGGGTGCATTTGCAATAACGCACACTGTTTTAAGTACTTGCTCTATGCATTTACAATACAGTGCCCACACACAGTTTTAATTCTGTACTATACAAGTTGCAGTACTTCTTTCGGGCTGTACGGGGACACGACCCATTCCTACCATCCTGTTTGACTACCAGTGTTAACTTTATCTGGTTAGTCTGTCCAAAACAACGGATACCCCAGTGAATAATGAAATAAATTATACCATATGTTAGTCCTGAAATAACTTAGTTTGTGTAGACTGGGCGTTAAACCCCATTTTACTCTCTCTCTCACCAGTCACCTGGAGGGTCCCTTGTTCTTCCCCGGTGTTGGCCGAGAAAGATCGTGGTTTCCATTTGTCGTTGCAGCAGGGCGGAGCGCCTGGTAAGGGACAATGTCTGGGACGAAACACCAAGGTCCCGTTGACAGCCTGCATTCGAAATAAGAGGAGGCCGTAGCACCGCTTTCGGTGCAAAATTTCCCTGGTAGCACACGCCACGTATATCTATCTTCATTAGCTATGCTAGAGCAGAAAAGTAGGACGTTAAACCCCATTTTATTTCATTGACCACTCACGCTGGTAGTTTTGCAGGTACAGTGAACATCCGGGTTACCAGTAGGTAAAGTGAAGCGGTAGACAGATACTGAATTATACCGTTATCTCTCAAAATTTGCTTATCAACAAATAGTTGACCTTTGATTTGTGTTTTATCTGCATTTATTCTATTTACCTATATACATCTACACCTATACCTATTCTTAGTATCATGTCAAAATTTAAACAATAAAAATATATTTGGGTTATATAATCTGGGCATGACCTGCATGAAACCCATCACTCAAGAATAAAATTTGGTTTTCTCTATGTGGTTTCTTTATACCCACCGAAAACTTAAAAACTGCACTAAAAGCCATTACTTGTCTTAAAGGCTCAATACCACCCTTGTTGTAACTGAATATTATGTCCCAATCTTTATTCTGGTCAACAAATTGTACAATTTTACAGTATTCCAATTAATTGGTGATACAAATTTCATCTTAACATACCTAATTTAAACAATTGGAAAAATTCAACTCAATGATTTAAAAAGCCTAACGTAAACCTTTTCAAATGTGACTTGGATTTAAAAATATTATCGAACCCTCTGGACAAGTAAAATATGATGTAATGGATAATTTACACAACAGGTAGGACACTTAAACATCTAGTACTTAGAATAAGGCTATTATTTATTTTCTGGAGCTGTCAAGCCAGCAAGAGTGTTATTGTCCCTTTAAGTCCAGGGCCGTTTTTTGGCACATTTGACCAATTACCCCAAACTGGACCCCGCACTAGAAAGGGTCAACACAGCTCAACAACTTAAACATTTTGCAAGCAATATAGGCCTAGCTAAAGTAATTCATGTCCTGCGATGTATTCATGTCCTGTAACTTCGGGCTTCCCAAATTAGACCCCGCAAAGCCCGAAAGAAGTACTGCAACTTGTATAGTACAGAATTAAAACTGTGTGTGGGCATTGTATTGTAAATGCATAGAGCAAGTACTTAAAACAGTGTGCGTTATTTGCAAATGCACCCAATAAGTACTTAAAACAATGTGCGTTAATTGTAAATGTATTCAACAAGGACTTAAAACAGTTTGGGTTGATTGTAAATGCACTCAAGAAGGATTTAAACAGTGTGCTTAGTTTGTAAATGCATTCAATAAAGATTTAAAAAGTGTGCATGGTTTGTAAATGCACTTAACAAACATATTGTACTTTAAATAGTGTGTTTGGTTTTGTAAATGTACTATAAATGTACTTAAAAACAGAGTGGTGTCACTGCTGTGGCGTGCCAATCCAGTCAATAAGTACTTAAAAACAATGGGTTTGGTTTGTAAATGCACTCAACACCTAATTAAATAAAGTAAACTTTGTTTATTAAAATACCACACAACATTTGTTTTGTTCACTTCATGAAGTAAAGTGTTCGTGTGGTCAATATAATTATTTTATAATTACACCAACGCCTCTCTTATCCCATCCTTATAGATTACGAACTTTTAACAAGTCCTTTTTGTTAATCACTATGACTTCGTTCACCTTTTCTAAAAAGCAATTTGTGTCTTTTTTTCTTTAGTTTAAAGGGTGTATGACTCTATTCTTGGAACCTTAAAATGCGTCTAAAAGCAGATATTAATGTAATATAATAATGTGATAATAATGTGATGGGGGTAGGGTATGGTCAGGCGGTCACTGAATACTCTTTCAATTTTAGGGGTCCAATTCAAATAAGAATATCCCAGTCTAGTATTTAAATTGATAGTATAAAGCATCTCACTAATATTACCAATATCTCTACCCTTCAAAACAAAAACCAATACATGTGAATGTCACAAAACAATAACCAAGAACTGTGAATGCCACAAAACAATTACCATCAGCTGTGAATGTCGAATGACACAAAACAAAAACGAACAACTGTGAATGTCACACACAAAAAAAAACGACTGTGAATGTCACAAAACAAAACCGTTTTGGTATATTCGGTTAAATCAGTATCTGTTAATATTACGGCAAAATTAGAGAAATTTGGACACCCGAATCTGCCCCCGCCCCCCGATTTACGTACATACCCATACATGCACACCGGCACATATACAATAATAACTTGGATTATGTTGATTTTGTTTTGTGGGATGGTATCCTACCTGTGTCAATAAAAATAAAGCTATAATTAGTAAACACGTAAAAATCGTCAGTAAACATCCGGGTTAGTAGAGATCAGGTTTGGA